CGGCAAAGGAATCTACGAGATCTTCTCCGGCAAGAAGGAGTTCTCCTTCGGCCGCCAGCCTGAGAAGATAGAGGGCACCAGCACGGTGAGCAGTCTCTACTACTTTAATGCTCACTTCTTTACACTGCCTTACTGCTCACTTTTTTTCCTTACAATTTTTACAATGCATTGTCTCCGATTATTCTAGTAATATCGCTGCAGATCATCCGTTATATGTTATTCTTTGTTATTACCTAGCCACTGTAGCGCAGTGGTAGCGGCACTGAGATAATATACAAACTATTTTCATGTTGAACCTTCCTCGCACCTTAATTGTTTTTAAGCAACTCAGTGTAATCTAGGGTGCGTTTTCGGTGAAAATTTATTTATGTAATTCAATCAACTGGCAGCGGTCGCTGGTAATACAAGGATGCCTTGTATATTGATATTTTTTTCCAATATTTATTGTGGTGCCTAATATTCGTAAGCTCGAAACCGTAATCAATTTTCAGCATGTATCAGATATTTGTGCCTGAATCACGGCAGAGCACAATTTTTCAGTTAGTTGTTGAACATCTTCAAGATTGGGACCTGCGCCGAATCACACAAGAATTACAGTCGGATCAATTCTTTTAACGTATTCAAAGCGCTGTCTATTTATTCACTTAACAAGTGTAGCAAATTTTGCTGCCGTCTAAGATTCTATTACAAAACTTAGCACATGCAGAATTTGCCTATTAAGATGTATTGAGTCATCTAATCCATGTTTTATTTGCGTGTATCGAAAAAGACCAAGGATGGAAATTAAGTAAACAAGAAGATAATTTTTAATTGTACAAATGACTGTATAAAAAATTACATTTCATAGGTAAATAATCGTACATAAAATACCATAAGCTAGCTATCTTGTTTGTGAATGTTGAGCGGTCTGGGACGTTCATGTGAAGCGTTCAGCTTCATGGCAGCTGAACGCTTCAGGAGCTTCAGAAGGTTGCTGAAACATGTCTGTCCTTCAGCAATAAAATAATAAACTTGTGCGTTGTACGTTATTTATACTATTGACCACATATGACGTAATCGTGACGGCACACAAATGGCGTCTACGTCATTGTGACGTCACACAAATGGCGTCCACGTCATTGTGACGTCACACAATTATCGTCTACGTCATCGTGACGTCACACAAATGGCGTCCAAGTCATCGTGACGTCACACAAATGGCGTCTACGTCATCGTGACGTCACACAAATGGCGTCCAAGTCATCGTGACGTCACACAAATGGCGTCTACGTCATTGTGACGTCACACAAATGGCGTCCAAGTCATCGTGACGTCACACAAATGGCGTCTACGTCATCGTGACGTCAAGATGTGTATAAGAGACAGATGGTGCTGGGGNATTCCCAGGGTGACATTCGGTTCCTGACTTCGAACCTCAACATCGCGGACCTCACCACAGGGGGCGAGGATAATCCCCCCTCTACATCCCCACTGGGGGAGGAAACTACACCCCAGGGGGAGGACAGCTCCCCTCCTCCCACCACACTCAGGCCGGGTACATAGTATATCACTCAGTACAATGAACGGGTTATGTTGTCCAACTCTTACACGTGGCGCTGATTTGCTCTTTTGAAGGGACAAATTGTGTCAAGATGACTCATACGTGAGAAAAAAATTGAATCGCTATTCGAAAAATGTCTCGCCTATTTTTGTGGGTGAAGATTTCTATAAGCAATCCATTTAAGAATTCAAAAATTTTCATCAAGTCGGGAAGCAGGCAATCGCTAACATATTTTCGATTTAGGCCTATCAAGGATATTATAATGCTGATAAAATCACGAGCCTTTGAAGAACTTGTATCTCGCTTCACTAGGCTGGTCAACCTGAGACTAGGTTTTTTTTTTCAATAAATTTTTTTTTCGATAAAATTTTTTTTCAATAAAATTTTCGAACTAGTTTTTCCTCACGAAGATGCGTACATTTCAGATGCAAAAATAACATATTTAGCAACGTTGTCTTAAACAGTCGGTAATGAATAATTCGTGAGAGTTAATTAATAACTTGGCGATACAATATGGTTCTTCGTGTCGCTTTATATAAAATGCGAAAATAAATGAGTATCTCGTCGACATCTTGAGCGTTTTAACATTGAATTCATTTAATAGAAAGAGCGTTAAATTGATGAATTGTTTCAACGAGATACAGCATTAACTGCTTAATTACTTTAATTAAATGCAGCGTTTAATTGCATGAATTAACCACTGAATTTATTTACATAAATGCTTCAATAAAGAATATATTTGCTTTATACAGAAACGCAAATTCCGTCACCGACATCCGGGGACCGGGACAGCGGCGAGGGGGGCGGCGCGCCACGCAGCACAGACGTCTATCAGGTCAATTATTTATTTATTAATTATTATCTATGCTGATTATTAGTAACTATTATTAACTATTAATATCATTACCATTACTAACTGCTACCATTAATAAGCAAGTCTCTTCAATAGAGATTAAGGGAAATTCACCTCAACTGGGTAGGCTGAATTAGTAATGATATTTAGTCTCTTTTCAAGGCAATAGTTCAACTTCTTGGTAGGATGATATTAACTATTTCAAGAAAAGGCAATCCATTACTTTCGGTACCTGAAATATTCAACGATTGGTCAAAGGTACAGCAATATATGATTATTTGCCTTTAATATAATCACAATTCGTTGATTATTGAAAATAAGGATGAAGTCCCACCCTAATACACCCCGGGGGCACCGCACCCCTGTACCCTAACACACCCGGGGGGGCACCGCACCCCTGTACCCTAACACACCCCGGGGGCACCGCACCCCTGTACCCTAACACACCCCGGGGGCACCGCACCCCTGTACCCTAACACACCCCGGGGGCACCGCACCCCCTGTCTCTTATACACATCTAGATGTGTATAAGAGACAGGCCCTACATACATACAGTCTTTAACAATGATGAGAATCGTTAACAAAGATGGATATTCTTAACAATGATTGGTATCGTTAACAATGATTGTGTTCAAAAGTTCAGCACGCGACGTACGCTGGCTATTCCATCAATTCGAAATAAAATTTAATAACATTTCAAATTTTCTCCTAATTCCCAGGGTGACATTCGGTTCCTGACTTCGAACCTCAACATCGCGGACCTCACCACAGGGGGCGAGGATAATCCCCCCTCTACACCCCCACTGGGGGAGGAAACTACACCCCAGGGGGAGGACAGCTCCCCTCCTCCCACCACACTCAGGCCGGGTACATAGTATATCACTCAGTACAATGAACGGGTTATGTTGTCCAACTCTTACACGTGGCGCTGATTTGCTCTTTTGAAGGGACAAATTGTGTCAAGATGACTCATACGTGAGAAAAAAATTGAATCGCTATTCGAAAAATGTCTCGCCTATTTTTGTGGGTGAAGATTTCTATAAGCAATCCATTTAAGAATTCAAAAATTTTCATCAAGTCGGGAAGCAGGCAATCGCTAACATATTTTCGATTTAGGCTAATGAAGGATATTATAATGCAGATAAAATCACGAGCCTTTGAAGAACTTGTATCTCGCTTCACTAGGCTGGTCAACCTGAGACTAGGTTTTTTTTTTCAATAAATTTTTTTTTCGATAAAATTTTTTTTCAATAAAATTTTCGAACTAGTTTTTCCTCACGAAGATGCGTACATTTCAGATGCAAAAATAACATATTTAGCAACGTTGTCTTTAACGGTTGTTAATGAATAATTCGTGAGAGTTAATAACTTGGCGATACAATATGGTTTTTCTCGTCACTTTATATGAAATGCGAAAATAAATGAGTATCTCGTCGACATCTTGAGCGTTTTAACATTGAATTCATTTAATAGAAAGAGCGTTAAATTGATGAATTGTTTCAACGAGATACAGCATTAACTGCTTAATTACTTTAATTAAATGCAGCGTTTAGTTGCATGAATTAACCATTGATTTTATTTAATTAAATGCTTCAATGAAGAATATATTTGCTTTGTACAGAAACACAAATCCCGTCACCGACGTCTGGGGACCAGGACAGCGGCGAGGGGGGCGGCGCGCCACGCAGCACAGACGTCTATCAGGTCAATTATTTTATTATTAATTAATTATTACCTATGCTGATTATTAGTAACTATTATTAACTATTAATATCATTACCATTACTAACTGCTACCATTAATAAGCAAGTCTCTTCAATAGAGATTAAGGGAAATTCACCTCAAATGGGTAGGCTGAATTAGTAATGATATTTAGTCTCTTTTCAAGGCAATAGTTCAACTTCTTGGTAGGATGATATTAACTATTTCAAGAAAAGGCAATCCATTACTTTCGGTACCTGAAATATTCAACGATTGGTCAAAGGTACAGCAATATATGATTATTTGCCTTTAATATAATCACAATTCGTTGATTATTGAAAATAAGGATGAAGTCCCACCCTAATACCTGTCTCTTATACACATCTAGATGTGTATAAGAGACAGGTTTGTATCCCACTGACGAGGTGGGAGAAGCGAAGCTCTAATGATGTNATAGTGCATTTTTTACATAAATGAGAAAATGCGCTAAACAGGCATCACAATTTGGACGATGTCACTTTCATTTTTCTGGATGTATGAAGTTTAAAAATTATTGATTCGTGGGATATTTTGAGTTTAACGAAACGAATCACAGAAACTCAAGCGATGCTTCCTCAAGGAAAAATTACAAAAAAATAAATTAACGAGAGATGTTTTGATGATGTTGGTTTATGGTGAAACAATTTAATTAAAAATTATCATCGAATAGCGGCCGCGGAAAGACGTGAACTTAAAAAAGGAGCACCTAGTGTCATGGATAAATAATTATAATGTATTACGGACCAGAAAAATTTCGATAAAATTCTTATCATTTTCACTTCCAAGCACAGAAATAAAATAGAAAATATCATAGAAAAAGAAGTATCAAACATCACTATTTCACTTGCATGTAAAATAATGACGGATTCACTCACCTACGAAGCAGGGGGCGCCGCCCCCCAGTAGGTCGAGGCCCCGGTGCCCCTGGGGGAGCAGGGGGCACGTGGGGCCTGCGCCCCCTGCCAGCAGCGTCAGTAGGCGCTGTGGGGACAGAGACGACACTCAGAAAATTAATGGATCATATTGAGCAAAAAACGATACAATTTCTGCACGTTGAAGTAATGCGCTCATTCGCGGGACAAACTGGGTCAGGATGACCCAGCTACAGAAAGAAAAAATATATAACTCAGTACTCACTGCAGTGAGTGACAGAGAGCGCATTTTCTCGTCGACGATAACTTGAGGTCACGGACGGACGGACGGACAGACGGACATGGTGAGCACAATAGTGCATTTTTTCCATAAATGAGAAAATGCGCTAAAAAAGGCATCTACACTCGGACGAACAGTTACTCACAGATCTGAGTGGACGCTGTTGTCTGCACATCTTAATTACATGGCACACTAATATTCTGTACATTTCTTCTATTTCATTCTGGCTCTATTTTAGAGCTTGAATATTTTGCTATGAAGATTATATTTAATATTTTTTCTCTGGAAGGACAAGACTTGCGTGATAATTTTATTTGAAAACAGAAGTCATTTTGTCTCGGGTTTCTACCATGGACTTTAATGAACAAAAAGTCCATTTCAATTCCCATTGGACCGTGACGGCCGTCATTAATGACGACAATTACGATAGAAGGAAGATTTGTTGGGAAAGCCTACAAAATCCAATTTATTGTAATGCCCAAGAAGAAACTAAATAAATATATTAACTTTGGTGGGAAAATTTATAATTTAATTCGAAGAATTACACAGGGATTGTGTTTATAATAGTTAACGGCATTTGTATTATCGTATAAATACGCGAAAATATTTTATCATGTGCGACGCCAGTCACGTTCGTGCGAAAAGTTATAACGTCTGTTAATTTATTTCAATAAGGTCATACTCACCTCACAGTTCCTGCAGGATTCCCGCCTGCGTCTGCGGTGACCACAGGAGGATGATTCTGATGATGATGATGAACTGTAATCATCGCTACAAGAACTCATCCTTCTTCTCCTCCGCCTCTTCTTCTTGGACTTTGAGGAGGGCTGCTCGCTCCTCGAACGTTTGTGTCTGTGACGTGAACGGTTTTTGTGACTTGATTTCGCACTGTTGTGACTTCGACGTTTGTGACGCGAATGGTGTTTGTGCCTCGAGTGCCTGTGACGATCTGAACGCTCAGAAGACGATGAAGTTTCAATGGAAATTTCAGTGCTAGAAGTTATGCGTGTGGAGCTGCCGTTCATGAGGTCGTCAAATCTGCCTGAATCTCCAACAGCATTTGAATTTAAGTCTTCACCAGAGCTGGTGCTCGCAAAAGACGAGCTGTAGCCTTTGTTCCCCGACTGCTCTGTCGTAATGAGTTGATTCGTCTTAAGCGAACCGATTTTAAATTTTTCTTTATTATCTATTTTAAATTTCTGTGAATTCTTGATTTCTTTCGTAACTGCTATCGAAGAAGAGGACGGTTTCGTAACAGTTTTGTCTTCCATTACGGTTGTAACAACGTTTCGATTTTTAGAATGCACCGACACGTTCGTTGCGTTCGCTATCGGCGCTTCTCCCTCATCGTCGGACTGCTGAAGAGAAACTACCTCAGAAGATCGGCGTTCTGCCTCGTCAGAGATGTTGGAGTCAGTTTGAATTGTATCGTCAGTTGACGTGGCACTCATTAGGACAAAACCTTCCTTGTACACGTATGAATTTTTCCTCGATATACGTTTGCATAAATCATCTTCCGATTCCGATGAAGAAGAATGAAAAGAAGATGAATGGAATATACTTTTACTGTTCTTACGTAGTAAGCTGACACTCGAACGATCTGGAGTAGTCGACAGAGTTCGATTATCGTTTTCTGGTTGACGTTTTAGGTCTGAGCTTTCAAACGGAAAGCTACAGGGAATCTTGTAGTTCAGGAGTTCGTTTCCCCCCTTCGTGCCTCCGAAAACTTCTTTCTTGTTCGTTGCTAAGAAAATATTCTTTCTGCTAACTTTTGGCTCAGCTTGAGCCACGGGCTGAGAAGGATCGTGACTAAGCAAACTCTCCGCTGACAAAACATTCTTCAGCATAGATTCCTTATGAGGAATAGCGGTCCCGGGGGGCGGTATGTCGTCAGACAAGGACGATTCCTGAAGGCATTTTGCCAGGACCTCGTCCATCATTGAGTCGTCAGACTGAAGCCCGGCCTCTCCTCCAGAAGCAGTTTCGTCAGGGCTTTCAGGAACGCTGAAAATCACGCTCGACTTCCTAGATAGTTTCTTAGGGCTTCTGTTAATATACTTATCCTCATACTTGCGTATATCGCCCAAGATACTTTTGAATTTCTGTGGCGATTTCAAGGGGTTCCTGTGAGGGGACTTGGAAGGGGAGCTCGAAAAGTCGCTTAAATTTGCGTCCTGGCGAAGCATTCGGTCGATCGCGTCCTCATCGGGGGATTCGCCATCATTTTTCTTGGTTGTGCTGGCCTTCAGATGCGCCAGGTAGGCCTATGTTAAAAATCAGAACTCAATTGTGGAGAACTAACGTTATTTTGATTATATATATATTGAAAGTTCGGAACGCTTTTATTAAGCTGTTATGGTAGGATTGCGTCGGAAATTTAATTGCAAAATAAACATCAAATAGAATTTATTTTTCGAGAGGGAAAAGTGAGAGAAAATTGAGCTAGTAAACAATGAAGAAAAATAAATTCCAATTTAAATACTGCTATTCTAGTTCGTCAAGTCAAAACATTTCTCACATCACTGCTGAGCAACAACACAACTGTTAAGACTGAATTTTGATCTTAAAATTAAGATAACTCACCGCAATATCGTCCGGTGATGAAGTCATTACTGAAATACCAGTATGATTAATGATACTGGTATCACAACCGGTAACCATCAAATCGCAGATATTAAATGTTTTTAAATTCCCCAGCAAATAAAGACTCGGTACAACTGGAGCAAGAGTTGAACACTGAGGCAAGAGCGCCCGCATGCAGCGATCGTTGCCATGGCGAACAAACCAAACAATGACAACTCTTGTCAATTCTTGTGAACTTGTTAACAGAGGATTGCTTGTTCACCACTCCATTTAATGCAAGTCGAAAAGAAGCGAAGAAATAATCTTTAACGACGAGTTTCTGCTGAGAATAAAATGGACTTGCGGGAAAAGTTTGGGGCAACCGTCATTAGCAGTAACTGAAGCTGCGTGGATGCGCATAATCAAGACGATCTAATAATTATACGAAGTATCCGACATTCCAATCAGCAGCTGTTGATGAAACAAGACAACACTACACTACGTTAGCACCCACAGCGACAGTTCTCATAAGAATGTTCTCGCCTATGACATTCAAAAGACAACACGACGCTTGTTGCGAGGCGAAGTCATTAGAAATGAAAATCAGTAGAACATGAATTTCTAAAGTTCAGTCAAGAATCTTAAGGTAATCCAAGAATATTATTAATAATTGAATAACGTTCCATAGTACAGAAGCTGTTGAAGTTCAAGGATACGAAACGTTTGTAAGTTGATTTTACATATTTTATTGTAAATTCATTCACACAGATAACGACTGAGGTTTAATTTACACATCAAGTTAGTGTAAAATCAGTCAGATGATGGAACAGCTGTCAACTTGATGAGGATGAATCAACATGAGAGGGTGATGAGTGAGATGAGGCTAACACACTTTCACAACAAGTTCCTGGTGAGAATAAGCGTTGGCAACGTTCATATTTCATCAGACATACCAACCTCTCCAAGCCTTCGGCCTGACACGCTTCGATATTGTCATCCACTCTCCGCACATTTATGCTTAACTGAACATGAAACGTTCCCAAGAAAGGCCCATTATGCCGCCTTCCTAATGAGAAGCAGAGACTAAAAATACATTCGCTAAACTTGGGTAGGATGACACGGGTCCAGTATACGACAATTCGCTGTTATATCTCAGGCTACGACGTAACAACTCACTCCCTCACGCTAATGGGTGCTGACGCGGCCACGTAAAAAATACATACATTTATCACCTCGCCGTGATGGCCGCGGCCAACGAATGCCTCCACAAATTAAACTAATAACGTCAACATAAAGACTGGAAAATAGTTGCGATGAGCTTTTGTTGGCTGGATTACTAAATGAATTCCGACCGCGACAGTCACGACTAATATCGGATGAAGTTCACGAACGTTAAACAATTTAGATAAGTTTCAAAGCAACACTACCGTACATTAAAATAAATGATTAGGATAACAAAATTAGAACTTAAAGTTCATCGTGATCTGGCTCGGCATCGTCACCGCCCAAGTCGATGTCAAGATCGTCGTCATCCTCGTCCTCATCGTCATCTTCATCAGCATCTCCTCCGGCAGCCTTCGAGTCAGCCTCAGCCTTCTTCCTCTCCTCCTCGTCCTGTTCGTCCTTCATCTTCTTCTCGGCATCTTTAATGGCGCCCCAAGTTTCTTCTCCGATCTTCTTGGCCTCAGCAATATCGTCGGTGATGAGGAAATTGTCAAAAATGGTGCCGGACTTGACTTGCCAGAGATCCAGACCGACGGCACACACCTCCTTGCGCAGGTACAGGGATGAGTCGGGCGAGTATTCGGGGTTGGGGATCATGGGATGAATCCAGGCGCCTTTGTAGTCGGGGTTGTCGATCTGCTTGGGCTTCCACTCTCCCTTGTAGTCAGGGTTATCAATCATCGGGGGCTCCCATTCACCGTCCATCTCGTCGTCCCAGTCCTCAGGTTTGGTGGCGTCAGGGTCAGCAATGTGCTCGGGTTGATCCCAGTCCTCGGGCTTGGTGTCTTCAGGGTCGGGGATGGTGGCGCGGTCGTCCCAGTCTTCAGGTTTCTTGGCCTCAGGATCCTTGATTTCCTTGGCGGGGAGGAAGTCCCAGTCGGCCTCGAGTTCACCAGATTCCACCTTCTCGTTGTCAATGAGAACTTCGTACGTGTTGTCGGGGTTCACGATGAGCGTGTAGAGGTGAGAGAAGACGTCATCCTTGCAGCGGATCTCCTTCTTGATGAGGTGGTTCTGTCCCTTGTAGCTGAAGATGACGTGCACGCGCTTCGTGCCGGGACCGCAGATGTCGGGGCCTGTAAAACCAAACAGTCACAGGAGCGCCCGGAAAAATAAGCAGGCATAACGTAATATAAACATGTACCTAAAGGCGTCTCAATTTTACCAAGGAAACGAGTTTATACGAGAAAAATTCTACTCCCACGATCCCTGCTTTCTTCCCAAAAGAAGACAGCACTGAAATATCAACTCTCTACAGTATACAGGCACTAGAGATACCAGTCACATAACAATGTTAAAATGAGCCTGCAAGGTTACAATTTTTATGAAGTTGTGGATGCAAGTGGTAAAGCACAATGGTTGGCGAGAGCGATCTGTTCAGTGAGCAGGTTGTACAAACAATAAAGACAATCTAATAGTCTTGCAGGCAAACAAGCCAAACTACAGCAACAATTTGACAATGATAAAAATGTCAACAGTAATCTACAAAATATATTTAATAATCAATAATTTGATAAAGATTTACGATAGGAGGAGGGAATAAAACTACCGTACCATATATAAAATATCCTCAGCGCCAGAAAAAAAAAATTCCCCACCAACATACAAGAATAAGGGAGAGAACAATTCTCATAGAGCCACCAAACCCTCCTAAAATGTCAAGGCACGATACCATTAAATGTAGGAGCACTCAAAGTGGCAAGGCAACTCACCGAACATGATGAGGTAGGGAGAATCGCCATGCATGTCCTTCTGGTCAAGGGAGCAGTCGAAGACCTTGAGGTAGCCGCCCCCGCAGTCGATGCTCTGTTCATGCTTGACGGTGAACTGGATCACCAGAGGCTTGCCTTCATTGCTGAAAGGCTCAAACTTCGTAGAAAGGCCATAGAAGCGGGCGTCCTGTAACACATTGAGATATGACCTCAGAAGGGTACGTATTACATCAGGTAGCAACAAACAGTAAAAATTAGTCAACGGCTCATAACATGAATTTAATTAATAAAAACCTCGTGAGCATATAATGATAAATAAAATAAATTCAATAAAAATAATTTTAACCAATCAAACCTTTCAATTTTTCATAAATTACTTAACAATTGAAAAAAAATTGTAATATAAATTCTAGGACCTTGTGGGCTCCTAGTGCATCTTTTCTTAGTGAAATTTCAATCTCTGGCAAACTTTAAAATGAGATCCTCATTTTCAAGTTGAAGATTTTACACTTTGTAGTTCGTAAGCAATTTTACTGCAACAAGTTAACACTGAGATAGTGGGATCCAGTGCACAATTTGTAACAACTCTCCAATGATTTACATAAGCTTACTAAGCACAGCATTGCTCATACATTCAATTATAACAATGTCGGTTCTGACCCATTCAAAAGGAAGACATGTGTACCAAAAGTCAAATTATTGAACCTATTATTAGAAATTATTACTAATGCCAATATTAATTTTGAGCATTTTTCAGAACTTTTTATATTAAAAATGCTTTTGATATTAACTTTTGATACACAATAAATAAATCAATAAATATAAGAAGCTAAACCACCTCATTGGCTAAAATGCAACGACAATTGATTTCAACAGTGGTGAAGAAGCCACCAATCAAGAATGCAATATCATGTAGCATGCACAGTTTCTGGCATTTAGGATCTAAATGCTAATAGTCTGACACCTGCCCAATTAAATTTCTTTTTTTTTTTGCAAAACTTCATGGAATTGGAATACATTTTCATTCATAAGATGCAGATTTAATTCAGAAGTCAATTACAATGTTAGAAGATAAGGAAAAGTTCCTTTGGATGACTAAAACATGAGGTCATGAATATCTTGAGGTTACCGTTATGGTTGTGTTGTTTGGAAAGTATCAAAACAATGTGAAATATTAGTATTTAAATAAGGGCCAGTCTAGATTTTGAGCAAAACTCAAGTGAAGGCATCATGGATATTTGCTATCATCATTCACAAGATACAAAAAAGGGAAAAATAATGTAAGCTTGTTTGTATTGTTAGCCACTTAGCTAGATAGGAAAGTTTTATAGATTTGCCACTTCATTTATGCGATTATATGCTTTGAAAAAGGTTTGTGAATCTAATGCTCACCTCGGGAGTTTGTATTCCTTTGCTGGCTTCAGCATCTCCATAAAATTTTCCTGCACTCAATTTGAAGGTACCGAATTCTTTGCCGGAGTGTTTAGACTGCACCCATCGTGACTCCCAAGCATCTGCAATGCAAATATATTTCAGGACATACCACAGTAAGAATTATAGACATATATGTGAGTAGAAAAACAGCAGGTTTTTAATGGCAGTCAAAATGTGCCAGGCACACACATTTTTGAAAGCTTCAAAGTATTGTGGAATCTGAACCAGAATTGTTGGGCCCAGGTTGGAAGCATAGACATTTTTAGAGAGAATTTTATTTAAAAAAAGTAAATATATTTTATGTAAAGCAAGGACAAACACAAATACTCAAGAACATGTGCTGTATCAGTATGTTGCACACGTTTCTGAGGACTTGTGCCGTCAGCTTAACATAGCTGCTGCCTTTCAATAATTAGGCCGAGGTAACATGTGAAGACGCATAAATTTCTAATTGAAATGTGACAATGCCATTTGAACTAGGCTCATGATATAGGATGAGAGGATCAAGATATTGCCTTTTCCCTAAACAGGGAAGTTGGGCAGAAGCCACATAAGAATGAAACAAATACCCTTATTAGCATTAAGGCTTGTAGTCAAAATGCAGCGAAGTCTGAGAGTGAGGTTTTCGCGACCATCGTGTAAAATCCTTGATCTGCCCAAAGCTCGGCCAGTCGCTACCCTCGAGCTTGTACTCTTTGTAATATGATATCCTAGCCAGACCCTTCTTCGCGGGAACTGGTCGCTTTCAGGTGGCCAAGGAATGGCCAACGGTCGGCTATAACTAATTGGATAGGCCGACCACTGGCCACGTATTATTCTTCGAATCCATATCGCCATCTCATTTGCGAGTGGAGTAAAGTCTATCCTAATTAGTGAAGAAACGCATAGGGAAGAGCCGAGCCTGTTCGAAGCCTCTCGCTTTTCAATCAGGGCCTTAACAGTCAATCTAATTTGTTCCAATGGCCACTGAATGATTCATTTCTGCCTAGGATTTACAAAAAAAAAATTATGAACCAATCATTTTCATCTGCCATTGTATCATTGTTGTGAATGTCAACCTAATAAACTAATATTCCAAATTGACCTTTGCTTCATTTATACTTACCTACTTCTCACCAATGAACCAACATTATAACAAATCCACACTGTTTACAATAGAATTGATTATTTGATAGACCCAATGCTTATAGAGAAGTGAATAAAAATTTATTGGTAAAATGCCAACAGATTTAAAATCTCTTCCTCAGTCGAGATTAATGTTATACAAGTACATCTGACATTATGAGGCTCTAGTAATTATTGCTTTGAAGTTTGGAGCATGGAGCAATGATGGAGGACACAGGACAGCAAGTTAAGATGAAATTATCATTTTTATCTGCTGTGTAATGCTGTGAATGTCAACCTAATTACCTAATATTCCATATTGACCTTTGCTTGACCTACTACACCAATGAACCAAAATTATAACAAATCCCCACTGTTTATAATATACTTGATAGACCCAATTCTTATAGGAAAGTGAATAAATATTAATTGGTAAAATGCCAACAGATTTAAAATCTTTCCCTCAGTAAAGATTAATGTTATACAAGTCAGTTTAGTTAGATATCCACCACATCTGACATTATGAGGCATTCTAGTAATTAGGTATTGCTTTAAAGTTTGGAGCATGGAGCAATGATGGAGGACACAGGACAGCAAGTTAAGCGCAAGCCTGCAAGGCATCATACTTTTAAGACAAAGTTTGAGAAAGTAAGACACTCAAACTTTAATTAAGAGTAAAATAATAAAATAATATCAACATCTATAAGACAAAGCCTGCTAAGAAATGAGTGAAATAATACAAACTGTCAAACACTGTTCCGTATTTGGCCAACATTTGGCAAAATGGATTGTAATATATAGAAACAGGAAAATAGAAACATTAACCAGCAAGAATGAATCAATTGATTGTTCAATATGCCGATTGCGCTGTGGCACCAGGGCTGCAGTGCTCTATAGTCGTGTGCAGTTTGAGCCACTTCAATAGCCCTAGACTATAGCACTAGCCGCCACTAGCTACTGTCAGACTGGTTAGTCCGGTGATCAGAACATTTTACAGAAGATAATGGAAGCCAGAAGGAAATTCTTTGGAACAGAATTCCTTAAAAAATTCACGGCGAAGAGTGACATAGACAGTTTTATAGTCAATTATGATCATCTAATCATCTTTCTATAAGCTTGTGCTCGCATTATTTCTAGATAGCTCCAGAAAAAATAAAAATCGTAGGTACTACGTAACCGGCGAGCGCACAGCGTCGACCGGCAGAACAGAGGTTTCAATTTATAGAAAAGCATCAAAGATATATTTACTCACCTCCATCTGAGAATCTTTCTTCGAAATAAACTTTGGCGTTTACAAAACTAACTGCCAAAAGGCAGAAAGCGATGGAGAGTGATCTGTACATCTTTTCGTTTGCCTGTCTCGCTCTTCGACGACCGTGCCTCAACTGACACCGCACACAGCAAGGCTGACAGCTATACTGAGGCGACTCACCAAGTGGAGGCTTGTGATTGGTCCAGCAGTTAGGAGAAAATAAACGTCACAAGCATCGGGATATGAACTTCAAGGCCTTTTACTAAGTCTTTGATATGCCATTCAATACTCTGTTATGAAATTTCGACTTGCAGAATATATATATTTCATTCAATTTGTGATTTTATATTGAAATTTAGTTAGAAACATTATTTATATCTCAAAATCCTCAAAATATTATATTATTATGGTAAATTTTTAAGCCCCCATTTGGGGCTTAATTTCTGGTTAAAACTGGTATTTATCGATTAGATATCCAATATTTATCCTAATAGTGAATAAATGAAGAAGTTCTGGAATCAAAAGCCGAATGAAATTCACAATTTAAAAAAATTCTGAAGTTGAGGATGTAAACAGCTTCTTGAAGTCGAAAGTCTGATCATCTATAGACCGCAGCAACTTGTATCATACAAACTGTGGAGACGTGCGATTGGTTACAGCATTTCACTTGGATTCGTGCGATTGGCTCGCTGTATGCCATGGCTTTATGACATTGGCTATAAGTTTGACCAGATTAACATGTCATATCTACATGAAAAAGTACTGGAGGGACTGGCATCGTGATTGCATCTATTTTCGAATCGTAGATGGAAAGCAAAAAGTAATTGTATTAAAACATTTTAAACCCAACTTAAATTAGCACAGTTCAAAATATTATCCTCAGTTTAACTTCAACATCACTAAAGTTTTAAACGATGCACATTACTAATGATTTTTTCAAAGACCAGGAACCATAATAAAAATATTTCAACAAATGCTTTAATAACTTCAAATGAGTCAAAGCAAAATGACTTCACAGACAATTTTCCGGCTGACCTTGGGCCGGTCTCATACTTGTGTTAACAAATAATGTTTCGCTTAACATTTTCAAGGAAAATTCTTCTCATTGACAATTAGTTCTCAGCCATTAGTCCTTAGTTCGTAGCTCGACGATCAATTCAATTCCATTACTTACACCACCACATCATAAGTCAAGCGAAAACTGAAATTTTCGACGTCCGAATTTTTCCAAACCAGCGTCGCGTTCGACGTGACGTCATCGTAGTAGCAACAGCTGATCCAGGGACACCAGCGGCGCTTACTAATCAAACAATTATTAACATGAGTGGTCAATACAAACAGAGTCAAAATCGTCGTCAGTGCATAATTTTTTTGGCTTCACCTAAACGAGCTGAAAGCGGAAGCGAATATGTAACTGTCATTTTTAGTAACTGCTAAGTAGATATGATATTAATTTATATATTTCTTTGTATATATTACCTTATAAACTCGTACGTCGACAATACTTGTCTTCATAATGCGGCGCTGAGAAGCTTTAAGGAGAGTTAATACATCGTGAAGATGGAGGTTCTTATCTCTTCCTGCCTCTTAATTCAGGATAAACATTACGTGCACGTATACAAAGCAGACAATACGTGCACGTATCCATAGCAGACAATACGTGCACGTATACAAAGCAGACAATACGTGCACGTATACATCACCACAATGTGGTCCTCGGTTCTCTCCTGCTGTAGCGACTGCTCCCTGTGGTCCCAGCCCTCGAGCCTCCGCAGCCCGCTTGTGAAACGGGGCCCCGGTCCCCAGGACAACGCCCCCTACAACGCCCCCTACGATGCCCCCTACGACACCCCCTACGACGCGTCCTACGACGCCTCCTACGACGCCTCCTACGACGCCGTCGGCGCCAGGGAGCCAAAAAATCAAGCCGGAAAAAACAAAACACTGGATGAACTTAGTGGGTCAACATCCAGAGGAAGCATTGGGTCCCTGATGTCCGGCGAAGTCGGCGAGGTCGACCCATTCAAAGATATTGCGAATAATCAGTACCGAAGAAAGTCATTAAAGTCAAGGTATGTTTTGTGGCTGGGTCGAGTGAATGAATTAGTAAAGAATAATCAGAAACATGAATGGGTGATATTGTCCAAATAATGACGTAGTTTCTGCCTCACTGATACGTTCTTTTACCAGGCCAAACTGGGTCAGGATGCCCCGAAAAAAGGCAATGCAAAAATTGCCACGTTTTTTTTTATCAAGTCCCAATTATTTCTCTTAGAGCAGAATAGCCATTTTGAATATCTCTAAAAACTCGTCAAATATTACCGAAGAAGAAAATTTATTTCAGATCAATTTTGAACAAAAAAATGCAAGTAAACAAATTTCTGTCAGACAGAGAAACACGTCGAGCGACTCGACAGGTTCGAGCGACCGAGGGTCGGTCGAGGGCAGCCGCTACGTCAAGAGGGGGCCCCGCACGAGGGGGGCACGCGCACCCCCCCTCCCCGGCACCACCATCACCATCACCCAGCAGCCAAGTACTCATATATACAATTGTTCATTATAATTAGTCAAGATCTTGAGAGCTAATTTGAAAGATGTTTAATTAATTACTTTAATTTAATTTAATTGTCATCTAGGATATTGAATTTCCTCGAATGGTTGTACGACCTGGGCGAATGTAGTCAATGCTACACCCAGATAATAAATGGGGTTATATTATCCAAATAGCAACACACTCTCTGCTCGTAGCTCTAATATGTACGTCCCTTTACCGGGTCAAATCGGTCCAGCTAGGGTGACTAACACACGGGTAAAAATTGCATCGCAATGTGGACAAAGTCTCGCTCATTCCTCTGAGTGTAAAATTTCTTATCGGCAAATCTTATCGCTGAAGATGGGAAAGTTTGTCATGCATTTGGCTCTGTGAGTTTATGTGCGAGCAGATGTCCCCATAGGTGATAATTTCCAGCCGACATGCGAGGCTAAGTTATCACTGGCGTTTATCGTCGCGATTTATCGTGGGTTATCGCTCACGAGCGTCGTTATCTCTTATCAAACGGATGCTGATAACGCGAGCCGTGTGCTGGGGCCGGCTTCTGAGGAAAGTTCGAGATAAAATGCATCCTCAATATCAAGACATTCATATAGAACATCAACGTCTTCAACATAAATAAATGATCATAGCCTTGACAACATCAAAAACATCGAAATATTCACATGACGGTCAGCATGCGTGATGTTCAACAGCAAAATTAACTTATGTAACATTCATGGATATACTAGATAATCATTTAAAAATAATCACTTAACGAAGTTATTGATGAGGGGATCTAGTTTGTCAAATCATTACATTATCATGTCATAACAACCTCATCATTTCGTTATCACCAGATCATCATACAGGCGAAATCATCAATAAAGCGCCATGCAGACATGCAACAGACAGTAGTAAACAGGCGACAAGCGAGTGAAACACTCACAAGCAACAGAAAAATTGCAAAGATACTATAAATGAGCAGCTAATACGTAAGAAACCGACAATAAACGATCCCAAAAACGGGAAGAAGCACATAACAAGCGCCCAGCAAACAAATAACAAATAGACACCATCAGTCGTAGCTCGGTCAAGGGACTGATTTATAGGAGTGCTGGTGTTGAGGTCGCGACAAACAGGGACAAAAACCTAGACATCATTTATTTGTATAGAATTCTTTATTTCCTCGATCTTTGGTGAAACTTGCGGTGTTTGGTCGAAAAATAAATCGTATTGTACACCGAACCTTCCCTCGTTATCATTTGATCCCTATAGTGGATTAGGCTGAGAAAATTTAATACTTTTTTTTTCATTGCCTATAGTGGGAATATTTTAGATTTTACCAATTTTCCTTTTTTCCTAAGGAAATAGTGGTATTTGTCCATCAAAATTTCTCTTAAATCATTTAATTGTAAAATTACAGTTTTTAATTACAGTTATTTCTATATGTACAGTACAGAGTAGAAATGAACATAACGTAAGCAAAAACTTTGCTCTTATAGCAATGCATTATAAATTAACGGGTTACTTATATCGAAAAGATGCCACGCATTATTTTCTCGATACAAATAAAAACTTCGGTTATTAACCGTGCTTTTGTGTTATTTTACAATAATAAATATTATTAACTCTCTATTCACATGATTGATCCATAATAAACGTAAATGTTTTTAATTTTTTTTCAGAAAGTGAAGACATTTACCGGCCCGACTTGAGGAAGGATAGTTCAGTCTCTGCTGTTGGAACCTCCACACCTGTCAGGTGATGGCCTGTAGAGAGTTCACATCTTAAAGATGATCTAGCAAATCTTGTGCAATAAAAAAATTAAATTCAGTCGTTTTGCAGTGAGCGTATATAATAATTAGCATATACGCGCATCGAAAGTTTACCGGATCGGGAGTTTCCGGTTTTCGGCGACGGCTTTTAAGCCATGCGCAGTAACGAAAACATTATCATTAACTGGCAGTAACGAAAACATTATCATTAACTGGCAGCAACGAAAACATTATGTACCCTTCAAAATAAGGTAATTTTTTACATTATTTTTCAAAATAACTAAATTTCTTACATCAGAATTCAGACTCCAGTGGAACGGCACGCAAGCTCCGCGTCATCGCTCAGCCTCAGCACGACATCCAGGAGGAATGTGAGTCAAGCGTCTTAGTGGGTCAACAGCGTCTTAGTGGGTCAACAGCGTCTTGGTGGGTCAACAATGGAAAGATTAGTTAGGAAAGATAGGTTGGTTATCACAGTATATTTCATTTACTCAAAAGGGAAAATCTTTGAAATTCTCCAAGCAGCTATATTCTATTCCCCCGGAATGTGCTGGAAGAGAGAAAGTGCCATTACTTGATCATTTATGTTGAGAAAAAACAAATGCTTCTTATCGATATTTATTTCAGAATATTTGAGACGAATTGAATGGTCAATCTCCGCATAAAATTAAATGTACTCAGCGTTCATTCCTATACCCAGGTTTCATAATGTCAGAACTGTACAAACAAATTTCCCACATAAATTTTATAGTTCTCACCATCAGAGTCAGAGTTCTGTCGCCATCAGAGTCAGTCTAGAGAAATCAATTCTAATTTTGCACGCAATTTTCATTGATTCTAATTTTGCACGCAATTTTCATCTATTCTCGAATTTTGCACGCAATTTTCATCGAGATGTGTATAAGAGACAGCGGTTATGTCGCTACTCTATACGGTTGCATCGCTACTCTATACGGTTATGTCGCTACTCTATACGGTTATGTCGCTACTCTATACGGTTATGTCGCTACTCTATACGGTTATGTCGCTACTCTATACGGTTATGTCGCTACTCTATACGGTTA